CCAGTTAACATGACCTGAACAATATCTACGGTGTCTGCCGCGCATTCAATGATGAGTGTTTAATTCCGAGAGCTTTCGAACTTCTGAACGTGTTACCTATCACACTAGTAAGGAGAGGAGAAAATGACGAATGTGAAGAACACCACTCGAAGTTAGGAACACTTAAAACAGTCACTTATAAAGTGTTTACACTACACCCAAAGCGAACACAAAAACATAGTTTACGGAAGAATGTGAGAATGACAAAGCATGACAGGCAGCCAAGTTAACAACAGTCTTCGAGTTCGAAATAGCAAGACCACTGGAGATACTCCAGAGTCTATTGTCATGTGAATATATAATAAATGCACTGGCGTCCAATTTGAACGAGTTGGCTGTCTAAGAAGCAGTCCAACATTCAAAAAGTCACATAGAATGGGTCATGAATCTTGATTATTTATCCAGTTTAAATCTTTTACAACGGTTAGTTTTCAAGGAGGGCCAACGATCGCTATAAGGGTATTTGCTGTGTTTAGTCATTTTTTAACGATCGGATGAATGTGCTGCTAGAAACGAATAGTGAGTTGTTTTGTTCGTCCTACGTTACTTATACGCGCTGTACCCGCACGATTACTTGAATAGAGAAGGGGGTGCAACAAGCGCATATCGGTCGTTCATTACTGACGAGAGTGGTGACGTTCTGGTCCTCTGCGTCACACACAACCTAGCAGCACTGTAAGTTCTTAATACTATCAAACGTATCCTCGTCACCGCTGACCAGCAGTCAACAAGAAACGCGGATTCTCAGTATAGAGCCTTCCTCAGTTTTCTGAAGCGTTGATGATGAAGGAATAGATGAATGAGCAACTTATGTACCAATATGCAATCAAAACGTAGAAAATTTCGCTTTGAAAATAACAATTCACATTTTCTAATTACAGAGTGTAATAAAAGTAATCCCAACAATATATAATAATGAGCTATCTAATAACGATACACACAGAATCGTTTTTAGCAAAAGCATTGCACAAATCAAAGCAAACAGTAGCAAACACTTACCGTTTTATGTGATTGTGAATCCCATAGATAACTATACAAACCAGCTTCTATTGATCCTCAAATAAACAATATAGGGCAATTCAACCCTTATCTCGGAGGAAGACAATTCACGATAATAGTGTGTAGATACACGTCCATGAGTTGAAAACAGATTAAACAGAAGCGTAACAACGTGTGCAGTAATACACTTCAGCTTGAACGATAAAACCTGGTTGATGTTTGCGTACACTGAGACCAGATTTGGAGAGGTAAAATACAAATCCACAGGCATACACTACATTCGCAGATTGACGAGGCCACAATCGAACTGGTTAGTCGTAGATAACGAGCTTGATTCCGGCCCGTAACTGACGGAGTATAAGTAAGCGTACAAACAAGCACACAAACGTAGACAAACACACTAATCATTAGACTGAATTAAATGCTTACATTATGCTATCGATCGAAACGCGCACCTGTGTCAAGGAAGGCATTCAAGTGACTGACACGATCAGACAAGTGAGCAGATGGTTGTCAGTTAGGGCACGAGGTGCACCGAGTAGAATGCGAATGGTTATCAAGCGAGTAGGAAGACTATTAAATGAAGACAGACGGAGAGAGAGAAACAGGGTCGGAGAGAACCTATCAGATGCAACGCCAGCTGTTGTAGTTACACCCTCAACAGCTGACGTTTTTAGTTGGAGTGCATTTTTTGCATGCAAGATATCAACAATCGGTCTACAGCCGACCAGAAAACAGAACAGAGTGTGGCACCACGATGCTCGAGGGAAAAAGAAATAGATAAACGACATACAGCATGTAAGCTATGTGGTGAACTTTCATATGCAATTCTAAAGATTGATCAGCTCAGGGGAAGCAAAAAAACACAAGTGGTCGGAATGAAAACCTAGCAATGCAAATCTGTCGCAAATCAAACTAGGCATTTATTAAACCGGCACTAAAGCGTTCATGATCAGAAGCGGTAATGGAGGAATTTGGCAGCATCTTAATGTGAGTTAAAAAGTTGCAACACAATCTAGTATGCATTGCCCATTAAAACTGTTGTCATTATTATTGGTTCTGCAGTAGGGATTCGATGAAACTCGGAACACAAAGACTAGTTTCTCAGATTCAGAAAAAGCGTTAGTTCCATATCAGGAAAAAGATAAATCCGCCTACAGATATTAATGAGCAGTAGGGGATTTCGGTTTTCATTTAGATTGGATATCACCCACAGTTGATCGTAGCTGTCGTATTCCCATAGACTTTCCAGTCGGTCCATTTCGGAAAGTGGCATTGGACTTGAGTTTCGTCTTCGTTAGAGC